TCCTCCTACCGAGAGGAATGACATGCCGCCACCACCCAAGAGACGCAGACCACCATCAGATGAAGAGATGCCTTCAGGAGCCAGTGCTGTGAGGCCTTCTTCCAAAGGTGAACTCTTTACACATTTCTAAAGCCTTGTTTATACTCGACGCGTCCGCAAGAGCGCGAAGTGCGCGCGGCAAAAATGACGTCATTGCGGTGTGGGCGGTCGTGCGCGTTGGGTGCGCAAGACCCCATTTCGGCTGGCGGTGTGCACAGCACTTTTTGTAACATCGCGCGTGGCGCCGCATCCGAAGATGAACGACTTTGAGCCGAATCTGGCCGAACTGGTATGTCTGTACCACCATGTTTATGATCCTTCTATACACAGAGACATTTGTATTGATGGGCGACCATAAAAGCCTCTCATTTTGTGAATAGGAACACATTTACATTAAGCACCCAGTTTGCACTTGTATAAAGTAACTGCTTACATTTACAAAATAAGCCTACAATAGCAGAATTAAGCCCTGCTGATGAAATTAAGGTTTAAACACTCTTCAATAAGGCTTCAGTTGTTTACTAGTTTACATTCAGTGAAAGTGCAATAAACCTACTGCATTTATTACTCTTTTTATATGAATCAGAAATTAATAAACTACTAATAAACGGCAAACTACTTCTTCACTGCTGATTCCTGGTGGTTTAGAGGAGAATTACTCCGAGTCGCCCCCTGTCGTTTCACAGAATAGCACAACGGCGAGCGCGTCAAGTATAAACGCCTCGTCCGTTTGGAGAGGTGCGCGCGCAGTCAGCGGAGACTCGCGCTCGTGCGGACGCGTCGAGTATAAACAAGGCTTAAGACTAAATTAGACAATTTAGGAGCACTTTGATACCCAGATGTTAGACCAGATCACTAAATGCTGATTTTGTTTTTTGCTGTTTCCCTTTTTGAGACGTTTCCACCAAAATGTTAGCGATTTGAACACTTTGCAACTAAATTGTTCCTCTATACATGAATTTCAATATCATAATGCTCAGGAACCCATCAGTAGTTGTTTAGAGGGTTACTTGGTTGATTCTAGAATCTACTAGGTGCTTTGTGGCACGAGTAGGAACTGTAGCTGTTCTAATAATTGAAATATCAGGAATAACTATCTGGCGAGCTCCGGAGAGGGCGGCGAGTCTTGGACGGTGAGAGCGGCGAGGAGAAGTTGAAATCAGGTCAAATTTATGGTAATGAGCAATGACGCGGTTCGGCAGCAACCAATCGTAATGTAGAAGTGCTCCGTTTGAGAGGATTCCAGAGAACGCAGTCCTGTAACTTTTTGGTTCCAACCACATTATTTCCCAAGCAAAATAGAGGAGAGATTGATCATTTGAATTTGATAAGAAGGCACGCAGCACTATTTATAGGCAAAAATTTTGCGCTAGAACACTTGTTTTTCAGCGGGAATGCAAATTAGAATAGCACTTAACCATGAACACAAAAGCCACACCACACAAATAGCTTTTAATTGGTTTATTTCATTAGCAAATTGATCAATGGAATGTCACTATAATTAAGTTCTTTCCATTGATCAATTTTCTGCAAAAATAACTATTGACATGCTTGTTTGCTTTGCGGCCCCTTTAAATATAGTTTTAAAAAAGACCAAGTATTCATCTACATCAGAGCGTCCACGAATATTTCCATGGCGTCGCTGGCAGAGCGGCGGCGGTGTGAACGTAGGGTATCTCCTGGAGAAGTTTGAGTGGATGGATGCATAAAAATAACTTCCAGCCAAGACATTGATCTTAATATATTTACCTTTTCCCCAATGATCATTTCAGGCCAAGTGACAATGCAAAAATCACTGTTTGATTGACAGTGTAATTCTATTTATAGATAGAGTGCAAATAATTTGTTTTGCAATATAGATGCTGACTAAAGATTTTTCTAGTTGACTAATAGTTTAAAATGAATGACTACTAATCACATTTTTATACTAATAAGCCTTAACTAATAATAATGAGCCTTTAATTGCCTATATAATACAAAGCCTAATCAGCGCTCAAGCGCGCACATAAAGCTCCACAGCGCACTGGCAAACATTGAACCATCATTACTAAACATTGTAATCTCTGCAGCCGAAAACATTACCAATAAATTAAGTCAACGATGCTGACTCATCTCCGCAGTGACGCGCATATATGCACGTTTCATATGGATTACATAATGAGAATAATTATTTTACACTTGAATTGGTTCCTTTAAAAGCAGACATTTCAAGCTTTCTATAGATATATTTATCGTGTGTGAGGTGAGTACACGCTGAGTTTCGGCTCATTTCTGTGACGCTCAAGTTTACTGAGACAGCAGAAAGCACATCCTTATTGTTTTCATTATTTTACAAAAGCAAAACATTTTTTAGTTATTGTGAGTTTACAGAAATAATAGAAAATGAAATTTGACCCTTTACAGTTTGCATTACTCTTATCTATATGAATAAAAGGACAAGAGTATTTTAAGTAAAATGATC